GGGGGGCGGGTGACTAAAAGGTGCATTTTTTTCATAATTTTTGTCTGTTATAATAATTTTTTACAGTGTAAATTAATTTTTAATATTCAATATATAAAAAATAAAAATATAAGATTTATAAAAAAAATAAATAAATAATAAATCCAGCACTCCCTCTGTTGCCAGCCAGGTGAATTAAAGAGTGCTAATACTTTACAGCAAACATACTTTTTCATGTTTCACTCATTTAATAGACCGTATTAAAGAGACGGACTCATCAAGAAAGCATCTGCAGGTCTTCCTGCGCTTACATGCTCTTTGTGCAACAACAATGAACTCTTTGTGTTGATCTAATTTACAAATCTAATTTGACAAGCATGCCGACCAATTGAAAGCATCACATCCGCCCACCCAGTGATTGCATAACTCCAAAACTTCACACACATCTATACAAACTCACCTTAAACTCACAACAAACCCCTTTATACTGTGACAGAATGACACACTGACGTCTCTCAGTGATTATCTAGAACTAGACACTATCTAGTTCTGTTCACTAATCTAGATCTAGTTCCTGAAGATCTCAGCCGAGTGAAGATCTGTGTTCACATGGCATCAGCTCTCCGTCTCCATGGGAACCGCTAATGTGGAGAGCAATAGCTTTTAATTGTTTATCAAATGCCAATTAGACTCAATAAGGAAGTAATAAAAGTAGAAAGGAAGGGTTTGCTGGGTTTGTGTTGAACTCGCCTTAAATATTTGTGACTAAAACAGTAAAATAATATGCACAAATATTTAACATTTAACAGTTTTGATTTAATATATTTTTCATTGCATATTACATTATCATCATTAATTAACTGGTTTTAGGTTTACAATTTAAATGCATCTTTTGGTCATGTATACTGAAAAAGAAGATGACTAAAAGGTGCATTTTGCTCTTTAGATAAATCAAAAAATTATCTGAATTGTGACCTTTTTACATTATTTTTCTATTATAATAATATTTTTATACAATGCAAATGCATTTTTACAATTAATAATATAAGGAAGTAATATATAATAAATAAAAATATAATATAACATTATATTATGTTATGTTATATTATATTACGTTAATATTATTTAATGAACCTGAGCTATTTTTATTATTTTACACATTAGCAAAGATGAATAAATACTGTAATACTGCACATTGCTAGGTAATGCATTAACTAATGTTAACTAATAGGAACTTTTTGTGTATTTATAGAAATATATAATATTTTACAACATGTATTTACTTCTAAATATAATATCATTTGCACTTACATTAAGAAAACAAAAAGATGTTTTTACTGTGACCTTTTTACATTATTTTTTTCTGTTATAATATTTTTACAATGTAAATGTATTTTTACAATTTAAAATATATTTAATTGTATTAATGTTATTTAATGGATCTGAGCTTTTTTTTTTTTTATATAAACTAATGTTAATAAAGATGAATAAATACTGTGACAAATGTACTGCACATTGATAGTTAATGCATTAACTAACGTTAACCAATGCAACCTTATTGTAAAGTTGTACCAATGTATGATAACTGTCTATGAGCATTTTCATCATAATAATGTTATTTCAAGAAAGCAGAGTCACCAAATTGAATTCAGGACAAGTTAATGTAGTTAATATACACTGCTGTTCAAAAGCTTGGGATCAGTAAGATTTGTAATGTGTTTTAAAGAAGTCTCTTCTGTTCATCAAGGCTGCATTTATTTGATCATACATACAGAAAAATTAGTAATATTGTGAAATATTATTGCAATTTAAAATAATGGTTTTCTATTTTAATCTCTGTTAAACTGTAATTTATTTCTGTGATGCAGTGCTGAATTTTCAGCATAATTTCTCCAGTCTTCAGTGTCACGTGATCTTCAGAAATCATTCTAATATGCTGATTTATTATCAATATTGGAAACCTTTTTTTGGAACCTGTGATTCTTTTTTTCAGGATTCTTTGATGAATAAAGTAATAAGACAGCATTTATTTAAAATAGAAATCTTTTCTAGCAATATAAGTATTTTTTTAATCACTTTTTATCAATTTAACACATCCTTGCTGAATAAAACTATTAATTTCTTTCAACAAAAAAATAAAATAAATAAATAAATAAAAATTCTAATTACTGACCCCAAACTTTTGAACGGTATATTGTTACAAAAGATTTATATTACCTTTTTTTGGAACCTGTGATTCTTTTTTTCAGGATTCTTTGATGAATAAAGTAATAAGACAGCATTTATTTAAAATAGAAATCTTTTCTAGCAATATAAGTATTTTTTTAATCACTTTTTATCAATTTAACACATCCTTGCTGAATAAAACTATTAATTTCTTTCAACAAAAAAATAAAATAAATAAATAAATAAAAATTCAAATTACTGACCCCAAACTTTTGAACGGTATATTGTTACAAGAGATTTATATTTTGAATAAATGCTGTTCTTTTTAACTTTTTATTCATCAAAGCATCCTGAAAAAAGTATCACAGGTTCCAAAAAAATATGAAGCAGCGAAACTCTTTCCAATATTGATAATAATCAGTGTATTAGAATGATTTCTGAAGATCATGTCACACTGAAGACTGGAGTAATGATGCTGAAAATCCAGCTTTGATCACAGGAATAAATTACATTTCAAGGTATACTAAAATAGAAAACCATTATTTTAAATTGCAATAATATTTCACAATATTACTGATTTTTCTGTATGTCTGATCAAATAAATGCAGCCTTGATGAACAGAAGAGACTTCTTTAAAACACATTACAAATCTTACTGATCCCAAGCTTTTGACCAGCAGTGTGCAGTCTGTCACTGAACCTCCTTGTGTTTGATTATTCAACCATGACAGTAAAATCAGCCTCATATCATCAGCTTATGAGGCTCATCTCAGTGCGGCGTGTTTCTGTCGAATAAGTTATTGTTCACTGATGTCTAGGAGATCTCATAACTTTTATGCATGCATTAGCCTAGTTATCCAAACTTGTTTAGGTAGGATGATTTTAATACAGTATTACAGTAATGAGAATTGCAAACAGCAGGCTTGAGATTCAGTGCATTTTATGAATGTGCTAGCTTGTAGAGTTGTGTTATTGCACGTAGCGCACGTGACGGAAGCGTGCTGTCTGCTGACGTCATCACAGGACACACGTGACGCTTGCGATCACATGACGAGCAGAAGCCGAAAACAGGAAGGAGCGCATCAAAGATATCTATTAATAATCAGGTAAAAGCTTCGTTTGATTTAAGCACCGTGTTTCCACGCGAAACATTTTATTTGCATGCATGCATTCGTTTGCAGATGACTGTATCTTATCTAAGGGTGAAATAAACAAATCGTGGCATGCACGAACCCATCTTTGTCTCGGATATAACAGCATCCACTTTCATGCGCACTCATTTATTGTGCATCACCATCTGCGAAATAATCAAGCGTGTCAAATGCCGTCCTTATGTTTTTGTGTATTATGTGCATTGTGCATGTTGTGTGCATCAGGATAGGATGTGAGGATGGCCTCAGCGGTGGAGAGGACGGATGATCTGGTGCGAGAGTATCTGATATACCGCGGTTTCACCAGCACACTGAAGCATCTGGACTCAGAGATCAAAGCAGACAAAGAGAAAGGCTTCAGAGTGAGTTTATGGCTGGATATTCACCTCCACACGCCTGCAGTGTCATGCATTCAGCGGATCTGATCTGCAGATGTGTTGCGTGCAGGACAACAGGACAATAATGAGAAACATTGCATACGGTCATTTGCGTTCAGATATGAGCAGTGTTGGGGGTAACGCATTACAAGTAACGCGAGTTACGTAATCAGATTACTTTTTTCAAGTAACTAGTAAAGTAACGCATTACTTTTTAATTTACAAGAGAATATCTGAGTTACTTTTTCAGATAAGTAACGCAAGTTACTTTTTTTCCAATTTATTGATTGACAGCTCTGGTGTTGCCATGGTGACAGAAATCAGAAGATGTTACTGTAGTTCTAAAATTAATATGACTATGCATTAATTCATCTCACTCACTCGCAAAAAAACAACAACACAGATTCAGTATTCCTCAAAATGAATAAAAATAATGCAACTCAGAATATGACGCAAACCTGCAATAATTAAATGTTAAACAACACAAATATGCTTTATGTATTTAATCCCATTCTATTTGCTTTTGACCTTCGATGATCCAGTTCAATCATACTAATAAGCAAAAATGTCTTTTTATTACTTTTAATAATTTGAGTGTCTTTTCATTACTTTCCATAAAAAGTAACTAAGTAACGTAATTAGTTACTTTTTATGGAGTAACGCAATATTGTAATGCATTACTTTTAAAAGTAACTTTCCCCAGCACTGGATATGAGTATGCATGAACATGCACAAGTCAAATATACATTATTGATCTGTAAAAAGGGTCCAAACAGCTGATAAAAACATCACAATAATCCACAAGTAATCCACAGCACTCCAGTCCATCAGTTAACATCTGGAGAAGACAAAAGCTGAAACAAATCCATCATTTTTACCTAAAATATGAGTCCAAAATCCATAATAACGCTTCCTCCAGTGAAAAAGTGCATCTGCTGTTGTCTCTCACATCAAAATCCAGCCACATATTTGTTTAGAGCTGTTTAAACGCTGCTTGATCTGTGCAGATTTCTCTCCTGATTCAGACCAGAACACTTTTTCACTGGAGGAAGCATTATTATGGATTATGGACTCTATGTATTTTAGTTAAAAACGTCTTAATGCTGGATTTGTTTCAGCTTTTGTCTTCTCCAGATGTTCACTGATGGACTGGAGTGCTGTGGATTACTTGTGGATTATTGTGATGTTTTTATCAGCTCTCATTCTGACGGCACCCATTCACTGCAGAGCACACTGATGCAATGCTGCATTTCTCCAAACCTGATGAAGAAACAAACTCATCCACATCAGTATATTTAATGTTGTGTTGTGCCGATTTGTACAGTTTTCTCTCCACAGTCAGATCTCGGGGTTTTGTTGATTCGTGTTTTATTACAGGTTGATAAGATCATCGATCAGCTCCAGCATCTGATTCAGAGTTATGATCTGACGGGTCTGAAGGAGTACTGGACGTATCTGGACCGCAGGCTCTTCTCCAGACTGGAGGACGTCTACAGACCCACCGTCAACAAGCTGAGGACCAGCCTCTACCGCTTCTACATCATTCACACGGTTCAGGTGCTCCAGAACATGTCCAGCTCATGTTTCACACACAAATCAAAAGAACGAAATTAGAAATTGTATTTTGCATAAATTAAACTGAAGCACATTTTTTTGGATCATTAAGGCTTTTTGTATTGTTGTGTCATTTTCATGGTGATTACACACATTTGTCCCTCTAATTTTGTTATTGTTATGCAAAACAAGCTATATTATTTCAAGGTAGTACTACATTTAATTTATGGGGATAATAAATACCCATAAATTAAATGTAGATCAATTAAAATAACATAAATTAAATACCCATAAATTAAATACGGTAAATACTTACCGTAATAAAAATAATAACAGCAATAAATAACAATACTAAAAGTAATAACATTAAATAATAATAATTATTATAATACTATTCATTGATATATAAGTATATACTTACAAATAATAACATATTAAATAAATAAATAAATAATAATAACTATAAAAATAAAAACAATAATAAAGTAATAAAAGCTGTATTATTTCAAGTTAGTGCTAAATGTAATTAATGCTGATAATGAATGTACACTGATCAATAATTTAAAATATTGTTAATATATTAATGAACATAATATTCATTAATATATCAATGTAAACTAAATGTAATAATTATACTAATAATGAAAATGATAATAATAAAATACTATTAATTAATATATAAATAAACTTAATGTTGTAATAAGAATAATAAAAAGAATAAACTACTACTAATAAATATAACATGATAAAAAGCTAAATTATTCATTTTTGCTCATCATAAATTACAAATATAATTCATATATTAATTAATATAATATAATATTTTTAAATAATAATAATTATGATTATACTATTCATGAAAATGTAAATATATATACTAAATATTAATAATAAATAATCATAATAAATAAATAAAAAGGTTTAGAAGTGTGTGGTTCTGTATCTGTCAGTGTGTATATTTTTCTGCTCAGTGTAGTTCATCAGTGGCAGACCGATCTGTGTCTTGTGTCTCTGCTGTGTCTCAGATGAAGAATCCCGAGAAGACGCAGGAGTTTTTCCTGAAGCAGGTGCTGGAGCTGCAGGCTCAGCCGGAGTGGCGTGATTGGTTCGCTCTGCCCTTCATCCCGGCGCCGGAGCAGAATCCCTCCTTCTCTCCGTATTTCTCCCGCCAGTGGGCCGACACCTTCCTGGTGTCTCTGCACAACTTCCTGAGCGTCCTCTTCCAGTGCATGCATATCCAAACACTGTCTGCTATGGGATGCTTATGATGGTCCTTCAGCTGTTGAAATAGCATTAATGTGACTTTGATGCATAGAAATAGTACTTTTTGTGTAAATTTTGTATGTGCATTAATTGTAATGAGATCAGACTGACTGAGCTCCTTAACAGCGTCACCTCAGCCTGTGCTCTTGAGCTTCGACAGTGAAGTCCAGAGAATCACGAGTGTTCAGGAGGAGAGCGAGCAGCTCAGACAGCAGGTGAGACCGTCACTGGTTAGTAGTTTAGTTAGTAACGCCTGTTAGTTGGATTCAAGATTCTTTGTTGTCACTATACGAGTATAGTGAAATTTGAGCAATCCTAACAGTGCAGTCACATGTAACTTAAACATCTGTAATACAGAATAAAAAGTTTTAATACTATATGATACAAGACAAACAATACACAAACCAATACAAACAAGGCGATAGTGCAGAGTTAAGCCTTATCTGCAATACAGTCGGCGATGAACGGTATGCTGTTTAATGATACAATACAAAGACAGTGCAAATTTAAGCCTTATTAAATATCGTATTGCACACATTATTGCACACGTAAGATGCATTGTTTGCATTCTAAAAGCTCCAGTGAGTGGACAAATATTGCACAGGAATGTTGCACAATAGACATAATAATGCACACTATAGTAATAATATTGCATACACTGATGTGACATGATATATATGCAACTCCATTGTAAAAATGTGCACTAGAATAAAACATAAAATATGTTATTCAACTCATTCCTTTGTACAATGAAGCACTTACAATGCTGATAATGAATCATACTAATCAACCATTAAAAATATATTAATTAATATAATATTCAGTAATATACATTATTATTATTAATAATAATTTCTAATTCTGAGAAATAAAGTTAAATAATAATATAATTACTAATACTAAATGTTAATAATAATAATATAATTACTAGTAATAATACAAATATTTGTAATTAATATAAATATACAATAAGAAGTTATATAATAATAATAATAACATAAAAAAGGTAGAATTAAATAGTTTATGATGATTATGAATTTATACTGATCAATAATTTAAAATATCAATATATAAATAAATCTAATATTCAGTCATGTAGAAATATATACTAGATAATATAAATAATATAATAGTAGTAATAATAATAATAAATAATAATAACGTAACAACTCAGATTTTATAAAAAATTTCAAGGTAGTACTAAATAATTTATACTAATAATAAATTTATACTGATCAGTTATTAAAAATATAATTTATATATTAATCTAATATTCAGTAATATATAAATATATGCTTAATAATAATAATAATAATAACAATAATAAATAATTCTACAAATAATAATGATATATAATAATACCAAAAAATATTATTCATCAACATATGTATTTAATATAAACAATAATAAATTGAATAAATAATAATAATACAAATAATAACAATAAAGGTAAATTATTTCAAGGTAGTACTTAATTTATGCTGATAATACATTTATACTGATCAATAATTAAAAAATATTAATATATGAATGAATGTAATATTCATTAATATAGAAAAATGTACTCAATATAAATAGTACTAAAAATAAAAATGTTAAATATTAATAATAAAACACTATTCATTAATATGTCCAGAAAATCAAGAAAAAACACATTATATAAAGGTTAGATAATATATTAATAATATATACATTTATATAATGTGTTTTTTCTGGATTTTTTGGTCTCTATCCGTTAAAATAAACCTACCGTAGAAATGTATTTCTAAGTGAGCAACTTACAAAATCAGCAGGGGATCAAATAAATATTTCCCCCACTGTATATGCTTAAATAATAATGATACATGTAATATAATAAAAAAAGCTGTATTATTTTAAGGTAGTACTGCATTTTAAAAGTTGCACTGGAATAAAACAGTTCAGTTCCGCACATCTGTTAGTTTGCAGATGTGTATAGTGAAGCGATTTTGGAAAGATGCATCTGTCTGTAATCTGATATCTGGGTCTGTTCCAGTTATTTGCTCTTCACGGAGAGTCGCGCCTGAAGAAAGACGAGGAGATGGTCCATCACAAACTCCCGCCGTACGTCCAGCACATGGACCGACTGGGGGACACTGAGCTGTGAGGAGACTCGCACAATACAGATATATTAACTTCTTATAATGAGCCTGACAAGAGTTTGATTAGTGAATAAACATTCACTTGAAATGGCACTTTCTCACCATAGTCTTGATTTGACGTGTTTGTGTCTAGGCCTGTCGCAATAATCAATATATCGACTTATTGTGCAATATATGTACATGACCTCAATCATTTGGTGACGCAATATATCGCACATTATATTTACTTAAAAATTGATGTCACCATGTTTTGTATAGGGATGCACCGAATGTTCGGCAACTGAAATTATTCGGCCGAAAATAGCAAAAAAAGCTCTTTAATAAGCGAAAAGACCAAATAAATTGTACCGAACAATGACGTGACGCGATCAAATAGCATCCAGCGTAGAGTGAGAGGCGCGCACTCTTTATAATGCAGCACACATGTCAGCAGTGTGGAAGCATTTAAAACTGTCCGAGAAAGACGCAAAAATCATTATAAGCACCGACAGCGAGAGACTGTTTAGGACTGCATCGCATGTCTTCGATGAGAAGAGGAAGGGGTGATTGTTGCTGGTTACTGTATGATGATTGAAATCGCGAAATGGCCTTAAACAATTAGTAAATAAACTGCAGAACGTTATGTTTTCTAATACACGCGCGCATTGCATGTATTCTGACAGCGCCATCTGCTTGTTAACCAGGGTTCAAAGTCCAAAGCGCGAGGAAAATCTGCACAGAAACATTGTTACTCGTCAGTTGCTCAGTCACATTTTTATGAATTTTGACAAGGCATGTGACAATGCGATACGTGCTACGCATTCGTACTGAGACTCAGTTATAAATCTGCTGTCAGCAAAAAGAAGCATTGAGGTCGAGGTGGAGAAGAAGCAAGAACTCCATCAACATTCATAAGTGTTAGTATTGTAAATTTACTGTTGTTCTGTAAAATAAAATAAAAAGACAATAATAATAATACTAATTTCAACAGCTCTGTTAATACATTTATTATAACATTCACACCCGGTGT